CCCCAAAACCCCAAAACCCCAAAACCCCTCAAGAGAGCACATAAATTGAACCCCCTGGTTATAGTCGCAGTTTAAAACGTTAGAAATACTTTAGAAATGATCACATGTAAGTACTAAGCCTGGCTTAGGCTTATCTTTTAGCCAGACAAAGTCATAAAGATAAGTCCAAAGAGACGAATAATGCTCCTATGAAGTCGGAAGTCAGTAGGAAAATGAAATTGAAAAATACAAGGAATACGAAAATCACTAGTATCAGAAAACTTGTTTCTCCGAAGCCACAAACAAAGCTTGCACCACTTACAAAAATATCGTACTATTTATTGTAATTTTCTTAACAGGTCTAAAAGTCCATTCAAATTTCCTTCAAAGACTCCTTTAAAAGCTTCAAGTAGAAAGGGAAAACTTCATGAAATCACTAAGACTTCTGCTTCAAAGCCAAGTTCTGGCAAGCTTCCAATAAGTTTCAAGTATTTTCAATAAAATTTAACCAAATAGTACGAGTAAAAGGTCCAAAATTCAGAAGAACTTGAGCATGGTCCAACCAAAAGAGCTCAATGTTATCCCTGGAACACCAAAGTATAAGAAAACTGACAGTGGCTTCTCAAAAATTAAGAAGAAGGTCAACCTCAAACTAGACAAAATTGGCACTACTATGAGACCAAGTCTTGGCTATACAGCTTCTCCAAGCAAGAAGAGGCCTAAAGGAACTTCTCTTGTCAAAGATAATCCTACCAAACTTACTAGAGCTAAGCCCCTCACCAGAACTAACAGCAAAACTCCAAAGTGCACTATTTTTGACAGCAGCACTCATTCTTCCCATATCCTTGCAAAGATTTTCTCCAAAGATTACAGCGCAGAAAGGAAGTCTAAGAATCACTTGATCTTCAAAGAAGACCAAGAAGAGCCAGAATCTGGAGAGTCCTCAGAAGAGGTAGCCCTTGGTAATAACTTCCCATTCTGATTATTATAGATCCATACACTAATGAGACAAATCAGCCAATTAGAAATTTCAGTGACGCAATAGTGCATCTAAAGTCCTGTATGAGTCAGCCTAAGCTTGAGGAAAATAGCTCTCAGACTAATTCGATGACTGATGTATGGCCTTGAACTCTGATTGTATAGAATTCTGAGCAGTCGGAAAATAGAATGGCACATCTAAGATTTCAGACTGTTGCATCTGGAAATAGTTTAGCCGCAAAAAACTATCACATGAACGGCTTTAAAACCAACATTAATGAAAATGAAGATTATGGGTTCTATGTTGGGCCTACCCCAATTGCAAATAAATCAAGTAAGAATGATAGTTTAATGAGGTAGACTCTACTAAGAATCCTATTGCTTCATCAGAAATTTCAGTAAATCTAGACTGCATTTCAATAAAGAATAAGACTCTGTGAAAGTTAACAAAGGCCAGCACTATTGCACTTAAAAGAGGACTCACTCGGATGAATTCGAATGCTTTCATGAAGAAGACATCTCCTGAAGCTCTGATTGTCAGAATTGGCAGTCCTGGTGGGATCTCCTTTGCAGTTAAATCTATCCCTGGAGTTGTCCCCTACAAGGAAGGGGATAAATGCCAATCTCCAGTTTCAAGGATTAAGACATCCAAGGAGTTAAAATCAAAGAAGAACCAGGATGCATTCTTGATTGTCAAGAATTTGCTCAATTTTGATAACTATTGGATGTTCTCTGTATTTGACGGTCATGGTCCAGATGGCCATACAATCGCAAACTATGCTAAAACTAGTCTCCCAAAAGTTATGAATAAAAACTACGAAAGAGTTAAGAAGTTTGATCAGAGAATTAATATCTTGCCATGCACTTCTACATGTCCTAGTGAGAGAGGTAACAGTATGAGCTCTTCAAGTACAAGACTAGTCAGAGGAATTGATAGCCTAAAGGAAATCCATCAATTTCTTCCTGACATCAGCTATAGAACGATGAAAGATGTCATGAAAGAAAGCATTATTGATATTGATAGATCCCTTGGCACTCAAGCAAAGTATTCAGGAACTACATGCTGCTCTGTTTCAATATTAGGGGATAAACTCCTTTGAACAAACGTTGGAGACTCACGAGCAATAATGATCTCAAAGAACCAGAGCCTCACTCCAAATTCTTTGAAGGATTCGCTTTCAAAGAGTCACCAAAACTCCAGCATTCTCAAGCAGAGATTGAGAAAAATAAACATTAATAAAGAAGTCATGAAGAAGTGGAAAGTTACTCCTCTTTCCTCAGATCATAAGCCCATCAACGAAGAACGAAATAGAATTCTTGCCACAGGATTCGGTAGTGTTGACAGACTCGAAGACCAAAAAGGGGCAAAGCACGGCCCATTCCGAGTCTTTGATCAGTATGGACTCGATGGTGGTCTTGCCATGTCCAGGTCTATTGGTGATCACAAATTAACTAAGTCAGGCGTTATTGCAAACCCAGAATTCTCAGAACACAAAATTACAGAGGATGACAAATTTCTAATAATAGCTTCGGATGGAATATGGGAATATTTATCAAATGAAGGTTGGTTTATTACATTCTTACATATCTAACCAAATTTACAGACATTTTACACCTGATGCATAAGACCTTTTATGAACAAAACACCCAGAAAGTACACCATCGATCACAAAGCTGTGCTCATAGAAGCAGCAGAATGGTAAATATGCATCTAAAAGTTTAGGATAAAGATGAATATCAAACAAAAGAGCCCACCCAAGAGCACAAAATTCAGAAATTTTGTGAAAATCTCGTTAAAGTGGCCAAATACTATTGGCTTGAAGACAACAAGAACTATTGCGACGACATCACGGTCATGGTGATCATGCTGAACCCTCTACACTAATCCGGGCCCAGAAAGTGATTTCTAATTTTTTTAAATCTTGAGCCATTTCATAATTCTTCTTAGGTGTGACTAAACCAGGCTTAAGTGGGGTTTTGGGGTTTTGGGGTTTTGGGG